CCCCCCCCCCCCCCTCTCCTACCTCCGCACTCACAATGGATACGTGGCGCGCGCAGGTGTTTGCCGATCTGGGACCAGCTGTGGAAGATGACGCCTCTGTCCAACTCGACCAACAAGAGCTTCACCAGCCGACGACTGCCGACAACCGGTTACCTGCGGGCTCAGATAGAGGAGGAGGCACACCCGGTGCGGCTGCGGCCCTGGAACAGCGAGAGGGAGCTCAAGAGAGACATCATCGGCCACGCCAATCAGGTTCGTTGTTGTTGTTGTTGTTGTTGTTGTTGTTTGGGTTTGTGGCTTGTGCTTGTGGATTTGGGCGCGGGTGTCTGGTTTGTGCCCGTGTGCTCGTGTGTTGGTGTGCTCGTGTGTTGGTGTGCTAGTGGGTTGGTGTGCTCGTGTGTTGGTGTGCTCGTGGGTTGGTGTGCTCGTGGGTTGGTGTGCTCGTGGGTTGGTGTGCTCGTGTGTTGTTGGTTGTTGTGTCTCTAGTTTCGTTTCGTTTCGGCGCGTTGTCTGTTGGTGCCCCCCGAATTCGTGTGTACTCCATTTGTATTGCGGGTTGATGGTTGTCTGTTGCGGAACGGTTGGGGTATGGTCGTCTGGGTCATTGAAGGGTGCGGTTCACCGCCATGATTCTGTGTGTGTGTGTGTGTTTTTTTTGTACCAGCTTCACCGTTCGAAATGCCATGTTTGATGTATTGGCTAGGTTCATCTGCTTGTGGGTACGCATAGTTGTGTTTGTCTTTTTTTTTTTCATGTGCGGTTTCCGCATACGCTTTCTGGCTTTCTCGTATTTTCAGTCGTGATAGTGCTGTACGGGCCGGTTTACCAAGTACTAGTATATGATAGGTGTTTGTAGTTGTAGACTTACCCGGCCTCGAATGCCACCTAAGGAAACGGCTTCACTTTCTCTCATAGATCTACAGTGGTAGTAGTAGTAGTCCCCCGTATCACTCTTGTTGTGTTGTACGCCTGTGCTTTTTTCAGGGAAACGGACAAAAGTGGGTATACCCACGCCATTCTCGGACAAAAGTGGGTACTCGGAAATCCAGCGCGCCCGCCCTCCATAGGCGACCCCCAAACGACTCAAAACCCCATTCTGACACCTGAGCGACACAGCCAGGGACCATACACAGCACGGGCATCGATTTTTTCCCACTTTCAGGCACACCTTTGCCCCCTAATACCGCCGCGGCGCGCGAGGCCTCACCAGAGTGCCCAGTTCTGTCCGACATCGCGGTGGGTATACCCAGCGGCGTCAACTAATTTTTTCATTTTTCCACTTGTGTCTGTGTTTTGGCCCACTTTTGTCCAAACTGCACCCACTTGTGTCCACATACGGACGGCGGAAATCGAGCGGAAATCGACCTCCACGTCACCGCACGGCAGAACATCGAACAGCCTCGGAACGTGTCCGAACCTCGCAACGCCGTTTCAATGGCAACTTTCCTATCCATGGCTGCCGACTGCGGACCGACCGCGGGGTATCGGGTCGGATTTCCACTTCGTATCACATACATGTAGTGCATATAAATACCCTTTAATTCAACATCACGTAGTTGCGTAGTAAACTTCCTCGACACGATGTGTTGCTGCCCTCACGAGTCGGTGTGCACTCGTCATGGTGGTTGGTGTATTTTGAGTGTGTGGCGCGTGTGTGTGTCTGTGTTGCCATGTGCGCGTCTTTTTGTTATGTATACGCGCCCGTTGGTTTTGTTGTCCGTTGTGTGCCACGCATTTACTTGTGGCGTGCCGTTAGTGCGCTGCTTGCTGGGCTTGCCGCGGGTATCTTCCCGTGCCTGGTATCTTCCCGTGCCGGCACCGAAGGGGTCTGGCATGTTTCTGACGTGTGCCTCCGTGGTCGGTCCGCAGTCGGCAGCCATGGATAGGAAAGTTGCCATTGAAACGGCGTTGGGAGGTTCTGACACGTTCCGAGGCT